GATAAAGGAAAATATCTTTGGCTGCGCAGTGTAGTATCTGTTGTTCGATTAACTTTGCCACAGTAAATTTGTGTTTGCAATTAAGTAGTAACATGAATACCAATGAGATGTAAACAGAATCGCATTTGTAAAATGTGACCTTTACTGGAGCAGACATGTTCTTTTCGTTATTGTTTATAAAGAAATAAACTGATTCTTAATTTGTGGTCTTAGGGTTATAACGCAGTGTAGTCTTATAGGTGATCGGAGTTCGACGATTAGAATATCTTCTTATCAAGAGAGCCAAGTTGCTTAGTTTCCTGTCCGTGTCGAGACCACGACGTCATAACCGAAGTACCACAGTAGAAATTTTCAGTGCTGTGAAAACCCGAAATCTCAAGTTTCGTCATTGTGAAATGTTTATAATGAGTTCGCCTGCAAATACAAATGAATGTGCGGACAGCAGAAACCGGACTTCAGACCTGTTTACAGCTCTGGTACAGAGCAATTGTTTATCGATTTGTCATGTTGTTTGAATAAAGTCTGTTTTAACCAGGATTAAGAGTCAAAAAACTGTCTTGCCATTCCCCTGCTTTGTTAGTTGCAGTTTACCAGTGCACAGCTCACACTTTATGTCCTGTCACACTCCGTTGCACAAGACTAATTGGCGTAACACTGGACATGAGTTCGGTTCCAATCTTGGCTAGTATTTTTTCGTTCTCGGCTTGTCCGTTCTGATACTGGGGTGCTATTGCCGTCAGATATTCCTGACCGCCTGCTAACAAGTCACTTTGTTTATAATGAATTCTTCTCGGGCTACTAGCCGTGTAAGACAGGGCGAGGGCGAAGATGGTTCTCGAAACGTTGGTGTTTTCTCCATTAAACCGCCTGACACGGCTGGTAGCTCGAGAAGAATTCGTTAAACTTAGTCGTCGCGAAAACTTCCAATTATGTCACTTTTTTCTTCTGACTTTGAATCTGATTCGACTCTTTGTAGGCCAAACCTTAGCAACTGAATTGTCGTTCTTTAATAACCAAACAATCGTTACCATAATACACGTAGTACGTGTGCTTATTTGCGTTTCTAATGTGTGTCATCTGACAACACTTACCGCTTAAATACGATATGATTATTATTGATTGCATAATTGTACCTGTATATATATGGGTGTGAAAATTGGCCTCTCACCATTCATTCAGGGCTTTGAGAATTCCTCGGATTCCATAAAAGCAGGGGATTGCTTGATCTGCAAAGACTAAACGTTTCCAAAATTGTGGACCATGTCTTTAGAGGCGTGGCGTGCACAAATGCGTACTGAAATGTATACAGTGGGGCTGGAAAACCAAAGCTCTTTATCAGATTGATTCAGTCCCTGATGATGATACTCCAGTTACTCGGGCGTGGACTCCTAAGTGGGTGAAACCATGGACGTTATAGTAATAGCTAATTGAGTCAGCAGTGGCCTCGGGCGTTCCTGGGTTTGAAAAAAAAAAGTTGTCCGAGTCTAACTGTGCATGGCCTGACCTGTCTCAACTGCTGCTTTAATTAACATGCGCCCAGTTGCCATATTTGGGTCTGGCTAGAATGTTAGAGCGGGAGATTAATTTTGGATCTTCAAGCTAACTACTTACCTTCTAGCGACGAGGTCTGTCATGTGTGGAGATTTGTCTCTGCGCCCACCTTGCATCATCATGTTGTGGTGCTCAAGCACATCGGCAGTTTTATCTTTATTACGAGCTTGTCAACTTTGCAGTTAAGGGCGTAGCGATCAGTGAGATATTCGTAGAGTGCCTGAAGAGATTCAATATACGACCTTTAATATAGTAACATGCGGCTAGAAATGTGGACCTAAGACGGCTGAAGAAGATCGCCTGTTGAAGAGTTTCTTAATTTAAAATATTGTTAGAGTGATCAAATATAGGATGAGATGGGCGCGACATGTAACATGGACGGGAACAGTGTATATTGTGAATGTGAGGCTCGTGCAGGTCGTAGTTGGTCTCTCTCTCTCCCCCCCCCCCCTTGTGTGTCCATGGAGCAGAGTCCTCTTTCAGAAGCTAATAGTCGCTCAGTCAGTAAATAAATTCTCCGTGTTTTATGGAATCCGAATGCTCACCACCGTTCTATATCCTGTGCCAGATTAATGTGGTCGAATCCCTCATATCCTGATTTTGTTGCTCTCCTCCTTCGCCCAGGTCTCCAAAGTGGTTTGTTACCTCCCTCCTTTGTGGCATAGATGCAGATCCAGAACTGTACGTGCCATCAGCACAGTGAGCCGCTCAGGCGCACATCCTGTTCGTGCCATCATTGACCCTCATGCCCTTTCCGCTGCTGCCGGCTGAAGACGCTAGTTCGCGCCATGCAGGTGCAAGGGGTCGCCCAGAGAAGGCCGTGCTTGGTTTCCCTCCTCTTTGTTCACCGAATCAGCATTCAGAGGCTGTTTGTAGCTCGTGTTCTAAACAAATATTTTTTCCTGCGACTGATAATGTGATGTTAGTGTTCAGGCTTTGCTACCGTACACAAAGTCCGAATATGTTGATGTTGGTATTGTGTAACATCGCACATACTAACGTTTCGAAGGAACACACTGCCTCCATCTTTACTTCAGACGTTGGTACTTACAAGTCCACATGGCACTGCGGTATTTGCAAGTGGCGTGTTGCCTTACTTCCAGCGTAAGAGCAGTAGACCACAACTTTCCATTCCTTCACGGTGATCAACGTTTGTAAACGTCCGGCATCGTTTTCGCTTTTATGTAGTTGACCGGATCATGTGCCGCGTTGAAACATTGACGTATACCACAAAGCAGCTTGGTGTTGCGTTTACACTTTTGGGACATACCCGTTTGTAACCTCCGTCGTATTACTACTGGCTTCTTTGTTGTCTTTCGTGTCGAATGCTGGAATAGTATCTTAAAACAGGCCACGAGCATATCATTCCACTTCCTTTCCTACTTATCATTCTTAACTATTATCATCCAACGTTGTATAATCTCAGCAGTCGAAACAGAGTTGTTAAATATCAACGTGTACGGCGCTTACTGGTGTCACTGCGGCATCTGTAGTTATGTAGATAAAATAAAAGTGAAATCAAACGTGGCTTCAGGACAAAAACGTGTTATGAACTGGTGCTGGTTTAATCTGTGCCCAAGCAATGCGCCATATTAGACGTATATGGGGCGTGGGACACTTAGTTGGATGTGTATTATCAGTTTACTTCCCAGGGATCGAGCTCAGGTCACAGTCAGTGAGAGACTGAAAAACTGAAGTGTCTGTGAGTAAGGTGGCGTCGAGGTTCGATCCTTGAACTTTCCGGGTGCCCTAAACGTTCACCTCCATGCCGTTAAGGTTGTTCGTTGGGACTTATATAACATCGAAAGTTCCTTCAGCCGTACTGAATAATTGTTGTACTTACAGCTACCGTGAGAATGTGTTACGTAAACATGGTGTCATAGTGATTGGTATCAGTTGTCACTGCTGTTTAGCGTCAGTGATACTGTTACGAGTTGTCAGTGGGCATGGTACTTAGCGCAATTAAACAGGAAACGGAAACTCAACTAGCAAAACCATTTAATGACGAGTCTCGAATCCGGATCCACACAATGAGAGGCCAGTAAGCCACCAGCAGCGCCCAATTTGAAATTACCGGTTTGTGTTGCTTCCGGAAAAAAGACAACTTATTTCCAGTTTCAAGACTCTCCATGCCTAAAATGACCGAAATACTCTTGAATGTTTAGTATTACTGCCATGCTTAATCAAAACCAGATTATGAAACTCTTCAGATGCATGGTTCCAAGTAATTTGTCATTAAATTTAATGTGAAAAGATATATTACAGGCTATCAGCCACATCAGTTGACGATGGTGATAACAGCAGAAACAACAACGATGATGTTACTATAAGTGAGAGAGAGTTACATCCAGTTCCAAGTTAAAATTTGTACTTGAAAATGCCCTGTCAGAGTTTATACAAATTGATGATGATAATGGAAAATTTAAACTTGCAAGAAAATGTTAATTCTCACATTCACTGCCCATCCACTGTCTTAGTTGGCTTTTTAAGGGAACTACAGGGAAGAAAAGGAGGCAGTTGGCCTCCAACCAAAAGTACTTGTCTCAGCATAGCTTATTTATTACACTATGAACACCAGATATCACAATTGAGTTGTCATGGTTTTTCTTTGTCCTCCAGGCAAGTGCTGTAATAGGCTAATCCTTCTACATATCTCCCAAGTCATCATACACCATCATCCTTCTTCATTTTTCAGTACCGGTCCTCTGGGCTGTGATGCAAACTAAGAAGACCAACTTTGCCTTTAGAACATAAAGTCTTATGTTTTCCCAAATTTATAGGTGTGTAACATAATTATTCAGTTGTTAAACAAGAGACAATGATCATACAATTATACATTTCACTGTGCATAATTTCTGCTGTGAGCATGTAAATTTGTGGGCACAGTAGACGCACTTTACATAATTTATATTTACTTGTATATGAGTTTGTATGCAAATGATATCTATATCAGTTAGCTTTAACATTCAGCTGACAAAAATATACAGATCAGAGAATTGTGGGAAGTGGATCACTAGCTAAAGTTTCTTCTTCTTCTATGGCTTTCCGGTCCGTATTCGGTCCATGGCCTCCTCAGTTCTCCTCTTCCATTCATTCCTCTGTTAGGTCCATCTGTCCGAGGCTTTAATAGAGGTTTCAAAACATCTTCCTTTTTACTGTGCAAGGTTGTTAGCCTTGCAACCAACCCCCAACCTGGAGGACCAGGGTACCTGTCTTAGTCTGACCTCTCCCCCTCGCCCAATCTGGCTAGGGAGGCCCTACCAGTAGCTGTGCTACTGCCAGCATAGCTCTTGGGGTCACTGATAAAAAATGTTATTTAAGAGATTGATATTTCAGTAGGACAGAGTTCTTTGTGTAGTTGTTGGTATAAGTAGAACAATCAGAAATAGAAACCATTATGGAAGTGTGAAGTGTCTCTTTCGGTAACCTTTTGTCTTGGTCGATTACAGAGCTATGTGGACACACTATGTAATACTGAACGAGAGGACAGAGCATCATGTGGGGGTGAGGACTCGAGCTATGACTCGGATTATGAGCCAGAAGATTCAGCATCACACCATGACGTGAGCCGCACAACATCAGACACTCTCGGGGCAGAGTTTGCCGAGTATGTGTCAGGACCTCAACCAGCGCCACTTCAGCCTCCCAGTCAAGGTTCTGCAGGTATTGTGTTATACACTAGACTTTATTAATCTTCTATTGACAAAATATATGTAGATATATTACCACTTGCTTGGGTGGGAATTATTTTTCCAAAAAGAAAAGTGAATTTAATTAACCAACATGATTACTCTCTGCAGTATTGTGAGGCAGAATATCTTAGTCAGTAAACTGACTACCTAAGGGATTTGATTCCCTGTAGGAGTGGAATTTTTCAGGTTGAAAGTTTTTGTTATCTGATGTGTTTCATGTCTTCCTTAGGATACACTGCAAGGGTTGAGTTTGGGCTCAAATTAGGATACACAGAGTCACTCGTTCAAGCAGCTCTGCAGAAACTTGGGCCCAATCCTGGTCAAAATGAGCTCCTGGAAGAGTTAATTAAACTTGGGGCTCAGGCCCCACGACAGCAAGAGCTTGCACCTGAGGGAACTGATGAACCTGACTCTGCTCTGGACACACTGGCAGAAGATGCTGTCAGTGTCCGTCTACGCCCTGTTGTCATTGATGGAAGTAATGTTGCCATGAGGTGAGAGAGATGGGTGTCACCTTCTATAAAATTCCAGGTGAAAACCACTGGCTTAGCAGTGAGATTGTTGAAGTATATACTATTTGAAGGTCATCCCTTCACTGTATATATAAATTCCAGAGCTGAATGAGATCCTACAAACTTAGTTGAATTTTAAAATGTGTTGTCAAAACTTGTTAATTTTTGCAGCCATGGCAACAAGGAAGGCTTCTCCTGTCGAGGAATCAAGTTGTGTGTGGAATGGTTCCGTGCCAGAGGCCACAAGGAAATTACAGTTTTTGTTCCAAAATGGCGTAAAGAGGCTGCACGGCCAGACAATCCTATCACTGGTAAGTCAGCTTAAGGAATGGGAAAAATAATGTAACAGTAATTTATCTTAAAACTGGAAGGTATGAAGGGTCCAGAGATACAAAACTATCTACTAAGTGCTATCAGAAACTGAAGGATTTGGTACAAAATTGTTGTGATATAAGCAAAAGCTTTTCTTGTCATTTCTTCAACTAAGACGTTTTAATCCAAAAATTATATAAATAATAGCAATTTATAGCAGATGTGAAAACAGTTTCAACCAAGATTTTCAGAAATGATAAAATATTTAGAATAAACAGGAAAAATTATAAGTACCAGTTGATTTAACATTACAGAATTTATGTGTGTCATAATTCTCCTTCTTTTCAAGATCAAGAAATACTAACAGAATTAGAAAGAGATCGTTGCCTGGTATTTACCCCATCTCGTCTGGTTGGCGGCAAAAGAATGGTTTGCTACGATGATCGCTACATCCTGAAATTGGCTTCAGAAATAGATGGCATTGTGGTGTCTAATGACAACTACCGAGATCTTGCTCAGGAGAGTCCTGAGTACAGGAAAGTTGTTGAGGAGAGGATTCTTATGTACTCCTTTGTTAATGACAGGTGAGAAATCCCATTAGGAAGTTTTTGTGTTTTTGAAAGACTTTAGCATGAAGTTGACAAACTAAATAACTCCATGGAGCTGAGCTCTTCCAGAGAATCTAATACTTCCTCAAGAAGTGAAGAAATTCCATGTCTTTTAAGGAATCCAAAAGCTTGTTATCATCAGTGGAAAATTCTCTGGTCTGGCTAGTAGTGTGCTGCCAGGTTGTTAACATTGGAGGAATATAAAAGAAATATCTTACTGTGCAACACAACATAACAGCAGCAGCATATTATTATTTTTTTATCATCATCAGAATTAGAATTGTGGTGCAGTTGAGTGCTGTTATAGCAACTTGCTACCAGAGTGGTTCTAGGTACCACAGTCCTGGTGATAAAATTTCTCTTGTTTTAATCAATTCTGAAAAGGAAATGCATCAAACATTTTTTTACCTATTTGGACCTTATTATAGATTTTAAAGAAAACATTTCAATTGGCCTAAGTAGTTTCATGGGTATACCAGTAAAGGTATACATTAAAATAACTCCACACATTCTCATACCTTACTGTATTTGTAATTTTGCTAATCATATGATGATTTAACAAAGGTTCATGCCTCCTGATGATCCTTTGGGAAGAGGTGGCCCAACATTGGATAACTTCTTGCGCCTCCGGCCACGTAGATGTGTCCCACAACCTCCTTGTCCATATGGAAAAAAGTGCACCTATGGAAACAAATGTAAATTTCACCATCCAGAACGAGGGCCACTTCCACACAAATCAGTTACTGAACGGCTTGTAGAACATGCACAGAGACAGCGAGAAGCTCGAGGCATCCACAGTCGTGACTCCAGTCCAGGTATAATCATTATGGATATTTTCTGTAAAATATTTGGCAAGTGGGATGTAACTCCATTGGAACCAGTGCTAATACTAACATAAAACCTCCGTCCTAATTGTAGTAACAAAATAAGATTCTTGCTCATCACCACCACTGTCATCACTGTTGTTCTGGTGCTATTACGCATAACTAAGCAGTTACAGGTTTTATGAAACAGAATTTTCTCTCATTTCTGACATCTTTTTAAGTATTCTCTTAATTGTTAGGGGTTGAGGGATTTTGTCAGAAAGAATTCTTTCAAATTCTTTTTTGTGGTGCTTTGTATAATCTGTTATTGGTGAAATCTATAATTTGTTTATTTCTTCACGATAAGAAAGGGTGCTATCAAGGTTTGTTACAAAAATATGTATGTTGATAAGAAAGGGTGCTACCAAGGTTTGTTACAAAAATATGTATGTTATTATGGTGTTTATATATTTATACAGAGACTTATAATAATGTCCATTATTGAAAGGCCACAAATAATTAATGATGACAGGTGATGCTTAACATCAGTGGTACTGTTCAATAACAAATTTTATGCTTAAGAGCTTAGCATTATAAATAAGACACCGTATTCTTGGCATTGAAACAGACTGAAAAAAAAACAAGGAATATTGTGATTTAATTGCAGGTAACCAACTGAAGAGCAAATCTCTGAGTTTGCCCTTACCTTCATCGCCTCAGATGGAGCTGGACTGCACAAAACAGCCTGTCAAAAAGACTCCACTTGCACGCACCAAGTCCAATGTGCTGAGCAGCCCCATGCAACCAGAAGGTGAAAAGCAGAACAAGTCTAGTATGCCGAAAAGTTGTAGTGTTGAGAATGTGGCAGAAGGTGCTATAGGATACTACCGTGGTCCACAACAGATGACAGCACCACATCCAAACTATGGGCTGTTGACACCTGTAGCCAATTCAGAACAGCCATGGCCTCAATATGGTACAGTATATAGTGATCAGAGTGGTCATGTGGCTGTGAAAAAACATCTCTCAGATTCCAAGAGTCCTCCAGCACATGTGGATGTGGGTGTAAACTTGCACCGTAAGCTGCAGCGCCAGTTAACCCTGAATCCAGTAGGTGACCCTCGTCTGTATCAGATGCGTCAGTACCTGGTTCCCTCATCCTCCAAACCACTCCCCACACACCATCCTGTGACACGACACAGCAGTGGTGGGGATGCTCAGTATGGGCCTTCATCAGCAGCCATTCCAGCAGGTTGGGAGCATCATCACATGCATCAAAATGTGACACGCATAGCCTCTGCCCCAGATTCCTATCGACCCTGGCCGCCCGTTCCCCCGCCATATCCTGGCAGGCACATGCACCGGCTAGGCAGTACATCTGACCCCCAGCTGAACCTGTGTGTTCCTCCAAGTGAAATATCTATCCTGTCTGATCCTTTCGATGCTTCCCTCTGGCCACCAGCCACATCTGGGCCCCCACCTTCTGTAGTTTGGCCTCCACAAACCTCGCATATGCCACCTCCCCCTGCTCATCCTCCATTTTCGACAAATGCAGAGGATGCAAGGAGAAGATTGCATTACCACCTGGCGTCCATCTTTCCAGAGGAACAGGTACAGAAGGCTATGCAATTGTATCCAGAAGAGACCAATCCTCAGAAAATCTGTGCTGCCATATTAGCTATGTTTCCAAAACCATAGTTAATTTTTGGTGGTTATATTTCATTTCTCATGGTATAGGCAGAAGAGAGGAGGATTGAACATGTTGGAAAAGCAAGATTGCAGACTTCCATGTCATTGGGCATGCTGTGGGTAGTTCAGTAATGCATACAGTAAGTCCACCAGGCAGAACTCTCTGAGTTAACCTTCTGAGTTAGTTACAGAGCAGTGAGCAAAGTTGAAGCAGTGGTTCTCAAACTTAACAAGTAGTAATGAGGGTAGTCTTTGGTGTTCTGACAAATGCCATGCACCGAATTCTTCTGCAGGTGGGTCCATCTTTCTTCCATTAACACGTTTGTTGCCATATATGGGATCCTCTGCTTACATGTGCTCTAATTGGCTGTGTATTTGCATTAGCATAACATCAAACCATTGTAATTAAAGTCTGGCCAGCAGCATCTTATTTCAGGGGGTTTAAAGTCCCTTCAGCAATATAGTAAAGGTTAATAACATCAGTTGGATTCAGGAGAATTTTTCTTTTTTCAGAACATGTTGATGAATGTTACATTTTTATTTCTTTGAGGTCTTTGTGTTTCTTGTATTATTGATGAGGTTCTTTACTACCTGTCAGTCTCTCCAGTCTGTTTTCTGGAACGCTACTTTCAAACACTGAGCATTTTTTCCAAGTTTTTCTAGTTCATAATTTATTAGCATAGTGTCATCTCATTTGCCACTAAATAACATTAATAGCTAATGTATTCCACTTGGTTGGGTTTCATCAGTCATGGTTTATCTAAAGAAGGCATACCTTAGTTATGAAATCCTCTTCATTGGTTTTAATTTTAGAGTTACAGCAATTTCATGAGTAAAAGAATTCAATTTTTAGTCATTTGTTGTTGTTAGTTGCTTTATTAAATGATAAGGGCTATGTTAACTCCTTGGGTATTATAGCATTAAATGACAGAATGATTGCAAATGGTATCTTAGGAAGGTTGTGTAAGGAGGAGACAACATATTTTAAGGTACTTTACCAGTATTTGTCTGGAGGAGCCACTACACCACAATTTTCAGCTTCTTTCTTCTAGAAGTATGGCTATGAATATATTTCTGTTAAGGCTTCTCATTGTAAGATGACCCCTAGCTGGAAAATGAAGCCAAGTTAATTTGATGTTTGCTCACTGTTGGGAAGTGTTTGGTTTTGACAGCACAGTACTACTAAAAGTAAAGTAAAGCTGTCCCACTATATGCCATGTGGGGGCTTGGAGGGAAGAGGAGGTATAGCTCCTACTCATTCTTAACCTTGGCACTAGAGGGGGGTGAGTGGTTAGCGTCATGACCCAGCCATGCTTTACCCCCAGGAAAGGACTGCAGTACCCATTGGATAGGAGACTGGGTCAGAGGCTAGCTGCAGTACCCGTTGGATAGGAGACTGGGTCAGAGGCTAGGGGAAAAATCCTCTGCCCTCATTGGGGATTGAAGCATGTTACTACTGCTAGAGGTATATTCACAGTGTTGGATGTTTCCAAAGTTTGCTGAGCTGGATTAAGAATATAGTTCCTTTCTAACTGTTTTCCTTTGTCTGACAGCTGACTGTGATAAATGGCTTCTAATTTTCATTATAATGAAAAAATGTATAATCAACAACTTCTTCATTTATGTTATAAATTATTTAAGTATTCTTAATTGAGGAAAAACTTCTATGAATCTGGGTCCATTTGATCAGTTATAACCAGTGCATTAATTTTAAATAGTGTAAATAGAGGAAAATAATTATTGTTTGTAATCATAACCAAACATAAGTATTTGTTTTTCTTCCATTAAAAGTTGGGATGTGCAAGACTGAAATAGAGAGTGTGAAGTATTCTGTTCTTAACACTTCAGTGAAAGGAAGAATGCTTCACACGCCTCAGTGTATTCTGCATCTGTCAGATTGTTTGTTTCATACATGCATTGCAACCTCTGCTTCATTGTCTTATGTGTCAACATTTCTTTATAATCATAAGGAGAAACTTTCAGCAGAGAGAGTATCAATATTATAGCTATTGAATTAGGTATCAGTCGGTTACCAACAATAGTACATCATAATTCATGATGCTCTAATGGTTCATTTAAACTAGCACATCTTTAAACCCCAGTGCATTTTAAATGTACACTGAATTCATTTTGAAGAATTACATATATTTTCATGATTGTTTAAACAAACAGAACACTATAATTGAAAATGTTTTTAATTGGAGGGTTTTTTCTCATCTTAAATGTGGCCAAAAGAAAACTATGTTCTAACTTAAGTTTCTGTAAGCATTGCATCAGTTTGCTTAGAGGCCTTTGAAGGTGGTGGTAAATTTAAAATTATTGAGGGTCTTCCAAACTTCTAGTCTGCATTAACTTTTAGTTTGGTGAGGGGAGGTAAAGAGCATTGCTTCTTGCCTGCTGTGTAACTGGTTACAAAAAAAAATCAGTTCATTTTCTTAACCCCTTGACATTTCCCTATAAAAATTTAACATTTCCTCCAAGATTGTTCCTTCCACATCCTTTCCAATTCATTATTCACTATCCTCTCATTTGATGCTATATAGTCTGAGCTACTGGAAAAGAATTGTTAAATCAACATTAATTAAATGACACTTGGGAATTTGACCTTGTAGTTCAACAAACGTCCTGTAGATGGAACATACATTTTATAAGGTATCTCATTTCTTTTAAGATACAAACACTGCATTAAATATCTTGTTATTAGAGTTAAAAGTAGTGCACTCATACATAAGTCATGTGCTGAGCTGAAAATGACTGTTTTCTGGGATGTTGCACCATATAATCACATAGAAATGGACTGACGTTTGAGCTGAGCTTAGTGCCTGCATCATCAGGATGCTGATTAAGCCACAAAAAAGTTGGTTGAAATATAGGAACAGGCTAGACAAGGCAGGAGCTTGGCTGGACCAGTGGATTAAGGGGAGGGACTGGGGTGAGGACACAGCAAGGGAACTAGGGGTATAGTTGATGGACTCCAGACTGGCCAAAAAGCCTTGTCTGGCCTGCTCCATTTTCTCAACCTACATTTCTAAGCATGATAATAAGTATCACCTTGAAGATGGAGGAAGTAAGCACCTCTGAAATGTTGGTCAGTTTCTACATGACTACACAGTGCAACGTCCCAGAAGTCGATCATCTTCATACTTGTTGCTGTGAGAACCTGAATCAGACAAATCATGTGATGTTTTCCTTCCTTCACCACAAAATCTAAAGTTAGTTCACATGCTTCTATCATTGAAAGCTAATGAGGCTTAGTAGTGTAAACAGCACTGTTGAACATGAGAGACCTGTTTCATTGGAAGAATGTAATTTGACATGTTCATTTTGTTCTGTGAAGCCCTTGAAATGACACACATCAGGCAGTGGAATATGCCTAACACATACAACCGCTGTTTATAAGATAATTTATACATGTTTCTTCTGCTGCTAAAACTCTTCCCAAAGAGACAGTTTATTTTTAAGTCAAAATTTAGTCATGTTTATTGTAATTTGAACAAAGAATGTGGTAATGGTGTGTATGCATAAATGTGCATGTGATTATTTGAAATGTTCAATATATGTGCCGGCCAGTCATAAAGTTTGGACAATATAGGTTTCGTTCAAACATCAGTTGCTAACAGAGAGATGTAATATTACTTCTTTGTGAATAGACCCTGTATTTTCTTCAGTTTAATGTAATGTTTCCTCAAAGATGTTCTTTTTCTGTGTCTTACAAAATGGGAAGCTGGGGAAATTTACAGATGTTTGTAAGGGATTTAATTTCAAATATACATAGAACCAGGAAAGTACTCTTATCTATTATAACTGCTTGATGTTTTCATTCAGTGAAGAAATTCGTCTTCAGGGTTGTGCCATGTACCCTGGTAGAAATTCACCAACATTTCAGAGGTGTATCCTTCCTCCATTATCATGGTGGTAAACTTCTACCAAACCATATGGCACAACATACTCCCCATTGTAAGAACCTTAAATCTCACTTTTCAGTCAGTGGTTTCCTTTGGTGCCTAATAATTACCCTTCTCATACTTTTGACTTATTTGGTGCAAATTTAACCATTATTAAAAATATTACCAAATAATGTGATATGTTCCTGGACACCTTACAGCTGTTTTAATAAAGACTCAGCACAAGAGGAAAGATTGCTTGAGTTTGTATATGTATCATTTCATAGTTTTGGAATTCTCAGCTGCTTCCATTCACTACTACATACAATCCAGTGAATGTACCTATATAAATCATACTTTTTCTAATTTCGCTCTAGTGCTTTACCTTCTTTGAGGAAACATTCTAGGAAGTGTTACATTGGAACACTTTGGATATGAATCTGATATTTCTTTATATGATTGATACATTTTCTTTTATAACATTTTAGCTTGTTGTCCAGACATGATTTTTTTATTCAGTTGTGAAAAATGACTGGCTCCAACAGTGATAATCTTCATATTGAAGAAAAACTTTTTCTGGTAAATTCTGACAGTGGGCATATTTTTCATGTCAGGAGTAAGTAAAATTTGCTTAGATTGAGAAGTAAATTCAGCTTATAAATATTCTCGTAATTCTGATACCATGTATCAATTTATTTCACAAGTACAATTTTATGCCAAGAAATCACTATTGTGCAAAGATTAACTGTGTTGGTTTTAGAATCAGGAAAATGATCTAATATCTTGAAATATTTTTGATTATAAATATAAGTATAAATGTTTCAATACACTTGTTGTATCTAAAGTTCTTGTTGTGGAAATTTTAGATTATTGGAATTGGTTTGGGAACCACTGCTATCCATGATGAACTAAATCCAGTGTTATTCATGTCTGTTAGCTTGAAGAATCAGCACAATATGTAACTTGTCAGCTCTTGTGGTGCCCACAATTAATTTCCTTAAATATTTCTGTTTGTCCTCCCATAATGACATAATGTTATGTCGTCGTGTCTGTGTAATGTAAAATGTGTGTCCTTTTTATTTTGTACATAAATTCTTGTTCTTTTTTGTAAAAGAGAATCATGTAACTTTGGAAGCCATAAAGTTCATGTTTTCTAGAAATAAATTATTGTTAGTAGGTCCAATTTATTAGATTTTGTAGTTATATGATTGATTGTGTGTCCTGTTTTATGGTGCCCTACCTACAAGTCTCTTTTACCTTACTTTCCTCTGCCCACCTAGCAAGAATGAAGACATTCTCTGGATGGAGGACCCATAAGGTTTGATTACAGTTACTGCTGATTTGAAAGTGTTGTGTTATGATGACAGACACAGAACCTACACTTTGAACCACAGTGAGAGGTCTGATATTGCCTATTCTAAATCACTTGAATCTCCAATCTATACCCTTATGACCTATTTCTTGAAGGTCCAACTATGCCTATATCTCCATGAAATTTTATAACCAAAATATTGTATTCATTTCTTATTACCTCCAGTTTTACATTTCCCATATATCTTAAAATTTGATTTAACTATTACATTCCTAGCTTACTGTGCACTGATATTGTAATTTGCAGGTATGCAGTTCATTTTGCTGTTGGAAGTTTCTGGACTTAAAGAAACTGGTTACTTGTTGGGATGCTAATGTGTTTATGTTCAACGTGGGCCTGACATGTTAGGGAAACACATTATTAAGCATGACAGCTGCCAATTTGTCAACAAGAGGGTTACACCAGTAGACTATAGGCCTGCATTTTCACCCAGTAATGACCAAACTTAGGTCAGTAACGCTTGGGCTTAAGATAACAACAGATATGCCCAAACAAAGCAGAAATACGGGGGGGGGGATATGAATTAGACAAGAAAGGGTTTACAAGTGAGCTTTTGTGAACTTTATGACGAATATTTGCGTTCCGTAGAAGCAGGGAACGTTTTTTTACCGGCTGCTATTCAGTCAACATTCGGTGAATGGGTAAAGCACGTCGGTATTCCTCTGACAACTGTCGCAATAAGCTAAAGAGCAGTAACTTTACTAAAATGATCGATGCTCTTCGTAACATAATGGTGCGTCCTTTCAATAAGACAAACTTGTGTTGCATTTTCAACATAAGAAACTATCTTTTTTATATACGAGAAGAACTCGTTATTCATCTCTGCTTTCTATTCTCGTACAAGATGCCCTACAACTGTGATATTTTAAACTTCATTGAGTTGTAGTTAATATGACCAACTGCACTGCAAAAATAATCATTCTGTGATCAGTGTTCTTAAAACGAAAGTTGTATGGAATACGTGTTATTATTATACAGTTAAATTCATATCTGTGCAACAAGAGAGATCACGAATATCATCAGCACAGGTTAGTTTTTGCGTTCATTTTGTTAATTGCTTCTAATTATCAGTTTAACAAAATATGTATGTGATGTAAGTAATTTACCCACATAGCCAGTCCCTAAAATATTAATTTTCACATTGTTCAGATGTTCTCATCAACCTCTAATACACTCGTACTGTAAATTCAGGGAATGATTAAATTTGAGTAGGAGTTTCAGAATGTAAGCCTTACATATTCCTTCGTGCTAAAACGGACATTATTTCAGATAATGCACTTATGCTTTTGTGTGTGTCGTCTTAAATAATGATTTAAATCGTACCTTCATATCAGAAGGCAACAAGTAGAAATAAAAGAACCAGATTCAAGTGATAGCACTTATTCAAATTCGGACATACAAAACATGAAGTTCATCAAGGATCAAGACTTGCTGTGCTTCACCTCAACCAATACTTTTTGCGGACGATACAAATATTATTATTATTTTTGATATCGAGAAACTGAGTTTCCAATTTTGCATGAATGATGTCTTTGCTAACTTGTATAAATGGATTGACCAATAAACTCATATTAAATTTTGACGAAACATATTTCATGAAATTTTGTACTAACAACAAAAATTATGTTAAGTAAGGTATAGAGTGTTAGGATAAAACAATAGAAGAAGTAGAAACAAATAAATATCTTGCCCAAAAATTTACAGTAACGTAAATTGGGAAACACGTGTTCAGCACACTATGCCTAAACTAAGCTCAGCATGCTTTGCTATGAGGACTCAGATCATTCATGAAAACAGAAACTTAGTCTACTTTGCTTACTTCTGTTTGATTATATCATATGGAATTATTTTTGGGGGAAACTGCAAAAAAGTATATTACATGTGGACACTGACTACATGGTGATCCAATGCAGTAAGTAGGCTAAATATGTATGCAAAAGACAATTCAATTAATTAATTAATTAGTCATTGTTTGTCCAAAGCACATAAAGTGAATCCATACTGGAGAAACGTGTCCATGTCTCATCTACAAACTGAGAAGTGATGAGACAAAATCTGGTACTGAAGAAATATACTAATAATTGTGGAAGAATCTTAATAAAGTAGTCAGGATCCGTATGTTATTTCTTGTAAATGTTTGCTGTAAGTACCCTAGAGAAAATTGATGCACTTAGGTTCAGTACTCAGCAATAAAATTCAGTGGATGACAATTTAACAGTGTCTATTGGTATACAAGAGAAATAAATTATGAACTCATGTCACTCAATACATCAGTTTTATTGTGCTTTACAGTGTAGTTTTCATTTTATTCTCAATACTTCAGGCCATATTTTTCAGTTTAAAATTACAGTCTCTGTAAAATACAAACTAGCATATTCACCAACTACAACAAATTAGGTACTTTAACACACGAAATCATGTTGGGAACAGGAAATTTAGTTTCCAATAACATCTGCTAAGTAGCCTTGGAGGCCACCACAAGGAGAGATGCATTTATCTTGGCTCCTACTAATATCGATTTAATCCTTTGTCTGTATGTATTTGATGAGATCAATGACCCTATTTGAATAGCCAAACTCATTGTCATACCTGTAACAGAAAAAAATGTCAGAAATTAATGCACAATTTCTTAACTAACCTAGCTCTGGTAGAGTTTTTTAAATCCATATTGCTCTATGTACTTGTAGTTAATAAACTCTTCCTTTTATCTACTTTCCTCACACAAAAGAATGGCACAACTTCAATAGTATGTACAATCAATATGAAGACTGTCGCTGAAAACACCCTGATTATATTTTTATAAATTATTTTCTCTAATACTTGCACCACTGCAGCTCTGCTCTCTCTACAAATACCATAAATACTAGCACAATACCAAATCTTGGGAGTTTTATAAGCCAAAAATACTTACTAAATAACTGTGGTTTTTTGCAAGGACAATTCTGCATAGAAAGAACACTGATCATTCAACAAGATTTTCAGACAATGGACACCTGTCATGCAATTTTATTGTTACTCAATTCTTAGTTTAAATTCTAGTTAATTCCTGTACTGAAAGCAAAATGATTTATGCTAAAGTATTCGTCACAGAGTCTTGAAAATGTTCTTGCTACAATTTCTTTCAGATGTCTGATATCACCGCTCTTTACCTTCACATTTTTTGAAGAATGTGTATTACTCACCATGAAATGAGTTTGACAAAATTATTGTTAAGAGGAATTCCAGCCTTAGCATCAAAGATAGAGGAGTGAGTATCGCCAATAAAGTCAGATGACACGACATCATCTTCAGTATAATCCAAGATTCCCTTCAGGGGTCCTTCTGCTGCCTGCTTAACCTTGGCCTTGATTTCATCATATGTTGCTGCCTTGCCCAACCTAGATAAAGAGAAGTTTTAATACCAACTCTGCAACACTGATTCTTCTGTGTTTCACAAGGGATTAAACTACATTACCAAATTAATTTAAAATCCAGGTACTGCAAACTCAAGTTAAAAAAATTGTAAAATTGCTAGTATTTGTCAAAAACTGATATGAGTAGTACAGATCAGATAGTGTATCCAATAAACTTCTTGGAAATTATCCAAAGACCAAGTGTAAAAATACACTATTCTGCAAAACTGGAACACTGATATTACCTTACTGTTAGATCCACAACAGATACATTGGGAACGGGCACACGGAAGGCCATACCAGTAAGCTTTCCA